CAAAATTTATTTAAATTTCTTATGAAATTTAAATATCATAGAATACGTGCATATTATAAACTTTAATAAAACTATAAATTTTACCTCGTATTTTTCTTTTCTTGCACTTCTTCTATCAATTATTAGATATCAAAAAGTTTTGCTTCCCTTGCACTACTTCTCATTGTATTCCAGAACCTCGAATTATAATAGCAGATAGTTCAAGTAAATTAAATTACAATGGGAATGGCAGCTTAGCAACTGCTTTACGAGATCGTGGACCATGTATGATACCAGTACAACCGAATCGTTCATTACCTATTCGTCCAGCACCATCTGTACCTACGAGATTCTTTCGTAAGGATTATTCGCCATCGTTCATGTTACCAAAATCTAGCAGCGCAGACATAGAGGAAATAGAATCTGTAAAACCAATCGGTACGTTGTTAAACGAGGAACTTCATAAGGAAGGGAATATTAATTGTGAAGAACGAATAGCGTCGAAAGATTATGTGAGCTCAATGAATTATGTTGTTCCTCAAATTTCAAGTGTTGGAAGTCTGAGTATGATAACGAGCAGAAACAATAACGACATGGAACACGAGAAGGATAACGTTAAAGAAAATAGAAAGAAGAAGAGATCGCAAGGGGGGAATTCTAGCCAAGGTAGAAAGGATAATGTGGAAAGTTCGATCAAAGAGTTTTTGACCAATTTCTGCGGATCGAACGCGGCTGAAGGAATACAGAATCTATGCACCGATAAATGTATTAAAGCTACTTCGACGACGAAAGAAAATAGTGGTAATAAAGTGCCTCCATTGAGACTGAAAAAAGTTGTGCATACAGGTAATAAGAGTGATTGATAACGATTAGAAAACTTTTATATTTTACGATTTTTCGTATAATTTTATTAAAAAAAAAAAAAAAACAATTTTAAAAATAAAAATTGAAAATTACTTTTAATTTGATGTATTAAAATTCACAATAATGTTGTTGTAAAATTGTAATTATTTTTTCCTTTTTTTTTTTTTTTTTTTATTATATTATTTATGATCCTATATAAACACATTAAAATTGAAATAAGTAAATATTATATATCTGGCAACAGAGATGGAGGGATACGACAATTCTCAAATCATTCCGGGATCAGAACGCGAGTCAAACTATAGAATCATCACAGACACGACATCTGAATCACCAACAAGCCCAAATCCCAATTGGAATGACATGCTCTATGAAAAAGACACAAATCTAGCATCTTTAAATAGCGATAGTTACAAGCTGAAGTATCGGCGGAATAGATTGAAACAGAAGCTTCGCGAACTACGTGGCAAAGCTTCGGAGTTAGCCAAGGAAATGGCAAACGACTCGAATAATCAGCAAAATACCAGACTGAGGCAGGTGATGAATCGTTACGAGAAGCAAATAGAAAATCTGTCGAAGTTGCATGGCAAACTGTCCGCAGCGCTTTCAGTTTCGAGAGAAGTGATCAATGTAAATGACGATAGTATTAATACTAGTGATAACAAATATCCGTGCATGAATTTGAACGAGAAAAGTTCAGACATGGATATTTCAATGAATAACATTTCTCCAACGTCGTCACCCGAGCCGCCAAAATTGTCACCACGATCATCTTTGGATTGTATATTGCCGGAAGAAATTCGAAATAGCCCACCAATTTTACCGAGGGTGTGTCTAACTATATCATCGAATCAAGATTCGGTGGAGGAGGAGTTACAAGTCGCAGAGAGGAAAGTTTGGCCTGTTAACGAAGAGTTGATGAAACCAATGTTCTCTATGGACCCTCTTCAGGTTGATTCTGTAGACAAAGATCCTTCAGATCTTGAGAAACATGCACGAACTACTCCTATGGGGAACAATATCAATGTTGATATTGAAAATTCAGATCGTGATGTCGATAAAAAAATATTAAATAATTGTAAAAACATTGCTCAATTTCCAAAGAATAATCGCGCGACTCAAGAAAAAAAAGACGAAAGGAGTAAATCGATGGAAGGATTCCCTCAATGTCGTCTTGTAACACAAGAACCAGAAAAAATCAAATGTCTTGAATTTTCTGATACTGGACCGATAATAAGTTCGATAGCTAGTTGTGTAGAAGTATCGACACCTGTTCAAGAGAATGAGACGTTCGAGATGATGCCTGACAAACAACCTTCTCCATCAAGAAAGCATATATTACAGTCTAATTTTTATGAATCCAATCAAGAAGAAGTTTCGTTCTCGAAAATTCGTCAAGATCCTCTAAATGCGCAAAAGGTTTGTAAAAAAATAATCACATTAATACATAACGCAATAAAGAAAGAAATTTTGAAAAAAAAAAATTTGAATTTGTTTCAGGTTTCATCGAGTTCGGCTCAACAAACTCAATTTGATATTCCACGAACAGTATTAAATCAAAAATATTCTACGTAAGTTAAATAAAAAAAAAAAATATATTTTATTGTGTAAATTTCTATATTTTATATATATGAATATTTATATGAATAGCAGATTACGACAAAATTATAAAGGAGAAGAAATTCCGATTGATTCTGTACAAAAAAATGGCGGAAATCATTCTATAACTGAACAGTTTCCGACTCTTGGTAACTGGTTGGCCCGAATATCAAAGAAACAAGCTTCAATAAGCAAACCCAAATTACAAACTTCAGGAAATGCCTCCTTTACAACACCAGAGAATACTACAGGCGTAAGAGTTATTTCTTTTTTATTGTTTATTTTATCATAATTTTCTTAATATTCTTTGAAATTTGTCCGATTTATTCTCATAATTTTATAACATATTGCAGCAAGTTTCTGGGACCGAAATACCAAAAATGATAGGTCCTAATATAAACAACAATATAATGAATGTAGCATCTCAACGTAATGCAGAAAAATTGCAATGTCATCATCAACCACAGCAATTACATATTGGAACATCTGTAACTCTTTCACAACCTATTGCAGCAGTTCCACCTTTACGCCCTGGTATTTGTCCGCCTATTTCTATGACACAATTTTATCCAAACAATTATACAGTAAGTAGAATTAAAATAAATGCATTTTAATTATTCTCTTTTGACAAATTTAAAAATCTTTCAAATTATATAATATAAATATTATTAATATTAATTTTATAAATTATATAATTAATAGATTAAAATATATATATATATATTTATATATAATAATAATATATAATTACTTGTAAATTGATACAATTTATAAATATTCATTTAAAAGAATTAAATAAGTATTTTTATAATACTATAATTATATAAATTTTTTAATTATAGATCGATCCTTACAATGGTGCTACTTTAAGTTATCATCCAACAATTTGTCCTTATGGTACTTATCCATATCATCCGCGTTTACATTCGAGTTCTTTACCAGGGTATCATTTTCCTATACAAGAAAATCTACGATCAATGCAACATATGGATAAACGTTTTCCTTTGATACAAGATCCAATTGTGAGATATTCTTCTCCATCGACGAACACTTTACAGCATTCGAATAATTTGGAATTTGATCGTCTTCGAGGAAACTCTACTACTAATAATATTGCCACTTCAACCTGTTTACCATCGTTATTTTTATCATCGCCATCTTTATCTTCTTCGCATCAAACTCTGGCTCGAAATCCTCTAATCGGATATTCAGCAAATAATCAATTTTCTCGTAATAGAATGATCCCGGATGTTGTTGCTGCTGCTGCAGCCGCTGCTGTTGCCGCTGCTGCTTCTTTTGATAGGCAACGCGATACATTAACTTACAATAGAACTGATACAGATACATTATCGACTGCTGGCATTACAAATATAATTGATACAGAATCGCCTCACGTATCAAATGCTGCCAAATCAATTAATCGCGATGTGACTAATCAAACTCAAGATAATAATTTTAACGAAGAAAATCATGAAAATACAAAGTATCAACAAATGCAAAATTTTCTATTTGATCGATTAGGACTCGTGAAAAATACAGATAATTTTGCACAAACAAATTCAGCTATTGATTCCCAAACAATGACGTCTATTATTCCTCCAGCATCATATCGGATGCCATTAATCTCATCACATGTTCAATTATCAAAAAATGTATCAACAAACGAACCTAGAGATTGCGAGACACCACATCTTGGTAAAATGAATCGTAGTCCAAATAGCTTGCATAATTTTACGTGTTCGAATTGCGGTATTATCGGGCCAAAATTTAAATGCTTAGGATGTGAAATGGCATTTTATTGTGATGAACGGTGCCAAGAAAAACATTGGTATATTCACGTTCAAAGATGTCCCAAAAAAATGCCAAAATTAAAAAAACTCACTTAAAATTATTATTTAGCATAAAAGATATTTTATAATGCTAAGTTATTTTATAATATTAAAGACTATAAATAATAAATATTAATTAATTAATGACAATAATATTATTGTGATTTTAGCTTTAATAATATATTTAACAAAATAAGATATGAATGTTCAAAATTTTACTTTTGTAATAGATTGCTCGAAGAGCAATTTCATAATCAAAACTTTTTTTGAAACTATTTATATAAATATGGAAATTTAATAAATTTTAACTTACTAATAATTAAAAATGATAAATAAAGTTCTTTTTTTATATCTTTATCATTTTGCGAAACTTTTTATTATTATATTTTACATTATTTATTATATTTTTATATTATATTTATATTATTATGTAAAAATTATTTATTTAGTTATTACATTTTTACATTATATTTATATTTTTTTGTAATTAACAATTTATGCAATTTGATTGAATGATATATATATATATATAAATATATAAAAATTTATAAAATTAAGGTCTATTTATATATAACTGTGCTGTGTTCATTCCATGTATCAACAGTATCAGAATTAGTTATTATATTTATATATAATATTTTATATATCATTATACTCAAATGATATAAATCTTTATGTAAACGATACTGTTAAATGAATAGTAAATATAAAAATATAAACAAAAAAAATAAAAATATTAAAAATGTTATATTATATAAAATCAATTAAATTCTTATACTCATCTAATACATATATGATGAATAATATTTTAAATCTTGCTTTTTAATGCATCTTCTTTTGTCTTAGTTGCAAGCTTGTTTAAAAATATATGTGCTTCTTGATAATAAGGACTTGTTTTATTTTCAACACATTTCATCCATGCAGCTATACGAGGTCGATTTTCTTGAGGATTATATCCAACTATTCCTGCAATCAACAATTATTTCTTAAATTTATATTGTATTTAAAAATAAATTATTTTTCTTTAACAATTATTATTTCTTTATATATTATAACAAATGATGAAATATTGAAATATTAAACATATTATAATGTATGAATTTTTTTATTTACAATTTATAATAATGTACATATAAATTAATTAAATATTATCTCAGATAATCTTTTCTATTTTTACTATTATTTTTAACAAATATATTTTTAATTACTTACGAACTTGTTCCACTTCACATGCTCCAAGAATATCAGCAATACTAATTTCGGAACCAGTTAAAAAAATTTTGTCTTTTAACCAAACATTTTCTAAAACATTAAGTATTTCAATCATATTTTTTTCATATTTCATAATTTTTTCTTGTGTCACTGGTTGTCCACTTAATTTTGGCATCAAATACTATAAAAAAAAATTAATTTTTAATGAAAAAATACTAGCATAAAATTTGTATATTTAAACTAATATATATTTATATATTTATATATAATTATTTAAACTTGAAAGAATATAAGATTTCTAACATCATTTTATATATTATCTATATATATAAAGAAATTTTCTTACCTTCATAAAAAAATACATACTACAATGTTGTCTGGTATTTAAATGATGCCATTCAAGATATTCATCAACTCTAAGTTGAAGTTTTGAGTCTTTAGGATACCAATGATCAGCTACCTTAAATTCTCTACAGATATATCTCAAAATTGCAACACTGCAAAATTCAATATTTTTTAAATTTTAAAATAAATTATAAAATTTTAATTTAATTTTAATATTTAAATTTATAATTTATAAATTTTTTTAATTATAATTTAAAAATAATGAATGGTTTTATAAAAACCATTAAAATAAAAATAAATAAAATTAAAAAATAAAATTAAAATAAATTATTATAATGAAAAATTAATTTTATATGATATTACTTAATATGTAAATAAATTTTATTATAAATAATATTTTTTATAATGCTAATGTTTTATGGTAAAAAATTATTTTATATTCTATTCTATAATATTCTATTACTATTTATTTTATTACTTAAAAATTAAAGATAAAAAATTATCAAAAAATATTAATAAAAAGTTATCAACATAT